AAAAAAGATTTTAAAAAAGGATTATTTGATTGACTTGTCCCATTGTAAAGTATGCACCTGCTGTGAAATGAAGCCACAGAGAAAAAAAAAGTTGAATAATTTAACTTTTTTATTTGTAAAGATAATCAGGGTTTTTCTGATTACATCTTAACTTCATAAATGTTAAATAACCTATCAGCATCTAGTTGTTGTAAATTATGAAAAGGAGCATTGCAAGGAATATTAACCAACGAAATCCTTGTTCTTTAGTGAACAAGAAAATGTGTTATGGCAGCTTGTCATTGTGGGACTGGTAACTTTGACACCAAATAACAAAACTGCCATTTGCACTTAGGGTAAATTGGTTCACTTGAGCTTCCACTGCTCCTCTTCCTCTGACATAAATTTATGAACTCGGGAACTAACCAAGTCGTGTGGCTTCCCAGCTGACTTTAACAAATATGCCCATTTCCTTTCATTTAGTCATCAGAATACCAGGGGGCTAGGTTGTTTCAGACTCATTGCAGATGGTGTAGGGTTTGCAGGAACACAAGAGCCTTTCATGTCACAGTCCTGTAAATTATGACAGTGGAGGGGCCTTCTTTCCTAAATACATGTCACTGTTTGACATGCTCACAGCTTCAAGGAGCATTTTCTCTTTCAACACCTCATAGGTATATATAAAGGACATTTATTTCAATTAGCCAAGACGTGACAAATAGATTTTCCAGGTTCGTGCCTTGACTAGCCATGTTGAAACCTAGATCAAGATTATGTCTATATTTGAAATGTAGCAGAAGCACAGTTTTGTTCCCTGACCCCCTAGGAGTCCTGTCCTTCTAAGCAGAGAAGTTACTAGAAACAGACCAGTAGGTACAAAGGAAGACATTCAGTAAAGTGCAACCTCAGATGAAGTGAAGGGAAGACCATTTCTAAATTACTGCTAGGAATGAAAAATATGTTCATAGGAATACAACTTGATCATATCCAAGTATTCATAAAAAAAAAAACCAAACTAGATTAGAATATTGTTATAAAGAGATTTACTTAAATGAAAGTGACATTTATTTGTAATTGGAGTAGAAACTTTAGTTAAAAAGGTGGGTTCAGAGTATTTGAGGGCACATAAAATAGTATCATAGATGTGGGGTTTTTTTTCCATTTTGTTCCATTTCATTTTGATTTGCTGAGATGTCTATCATTAATTCAGCACTTTCTATGTCGCAGGAATGTACTAAAATATTTTACATGCATTTTCTAATTTAATCCTTATAGCTCTTTATGAGGTGGCTATTAGTATCATCATTTTACAGATGAAGAGACCAGCATTCATAGAGGTTAAGTAATCTACAACAAATAAGGGCAGAGACGTGATTTGATCTGCCTGACTCCATTCTGTGGTTTAGTTCAACAAGAATGATAGAATATTTTTAAAATGTGTGTTTGCCAAACTTTTCTGTAAGATCTATCCCAGGAACAGAGAAGACAGAATGAACATGCAATCAATCCCAGGAGGTCTAGAAACTGCCCAAAGCAATCACCATAAGCTTGCAATTTCTTTAAAGTCTTGCTTTTTAGCTTAAAAACTCCTACAAATTTGGGGTGCCTGGGTGGCTCAGTCGTTAAGCGTCTGCCTTTGGCCCAGGTCATGATCCCGGGGTCCTGGGAGCAAGTCCTGCGTGGGGCTCCCTGCTCAGCGGGGAGCTTGCTTCTCCCTCTCCCACTCCCCCTGCTTGTGTTCCCTCTCTCGCTGTGTGTCTCTCTCTCTCTGTCAAATAAATAAAATCTTTAAAAAAAAAAAAAAACCTCATACAAAGTTGCCATTGTATTTCAATGTGTTTGTCTTCATCCAAAAAATAATGTATTTCATAATTTATCACTAGGGGAATTTTTTTTACTAATATCCTTGGATAAAGAATGATATGCTGTTATATTTTAAGATATTAGGTCACTCTGGAGAAAGCTGACCCCAATAACAAGTTCAATGTCCAGGCAACTCTTCCTGTCTTCATTTTGTTACAAATGTGCAGGTACAAACAGCAACCTTCCCCGCCCCCCTGGTTTACAGACTATGTCAGGGTAACAATAAGGAGAAATGCCCAAAATGGGAGGTGAATACTGTGACATTCCAAGACACTGTGGATGGAAATTTCCATAAGCATATCTTCCTGATGAGAAGTCAAACTACAAACTGATAAAGTCCCTGATCCACTCTTCATTCTCTTTTACTACCTCAAACAACAGTCTCCAAAGAACATTTTTAGTGGGGAAATAAAAGCCTGATTATACTCCTCTTTATTTTACCTCTAATATAGTACATAAGTTTTCCTCATACATTAATGTACTAAGAGTTTCAAATGGTCCCTTATAATCAACGCTCTTCATCCAACTCTCAAATTTCATTTTAATTACAGCAGTCTTATTGGGAGCAGTAAAAACATTCCCAGTTTTGTCTTAGAGCTGAGAATTAGGCCTCAAAGAATATCTCCTAAATAAGCCCAGTATATTCACTATACCATTAAAGAGAAAAATAAATTTATTTACATTTTCTAGACATTAATCTTTGTCACAATATCTTTTTTCTTCATGCAAAAAAAAATAGCATAGAAATGTCTATTACCTGAGATTCAGCAGAAATGTGGGCCCAGCCAAATTTTCATCCTGTGTCTACAGAAGATTACCCATGATGAATTCATTTTAAAGCAATACTGAGCAACTCAAATTAAGTGGTGTTTGATTGCATCATGAATAGGACTTGTACTTGTTCAACACACTGATTATGGCAGCATAACCTTCTGCTGTCATTTAGTTAGTTCTGAGGTGACTATAGAGTTAAAACAACTGACTAGTCAAACTTCGGATCACTCGGTACCCATCTAGTTTTCTAGTCTGGGGCTTTTTAGGAAGAAAAATTCATACCAAATTTTTGTGAAAAAGGGCAAGTGGGATTCTGCTAGTTTCCCTTGCTCAGGCAAGGAAACGTTGCATTTCCCAAATTTTACAGGTCAAACGCATTCTAGGAAAAGGTACAATATTTATCTTTGTCTTTGAAAATACTTCGACAGAAATCCACAAGCGTGTGGGGTATGTGTATTTCAGTTTCGGAAATCTGCCCTTCAGAACTTCAAATATTCACCTATAATTTAGTTCCGTCAGTGGGAATTCTAATTTTTCCATCACCTTTTTTCCCCTCTAATCGGTGTCCAATACCTGTTCTGCCCGGCTACACATGTTGTCTCAAAATTATCCTCTCGTTTTTCCTCATTTGTCCTAATCCAAGTCTCCATTACCAAGAGATAGCATAAATACAGGGAGATAAGCTTTGGTATCAGATGGGCCTGCATTCAAGTCTGACTACCCCAAGTAATCAATGTGCAATCTGGAACAAATTGCTTAGTTTTCTCATCTTACAAAAATGTAGTAACATTTGCTTTACAATATTGTCCTGAGATGTCATTCATTCACCCAAACCAACATTTATTGAGCTGCAAATTTGTGCTAAACTCTAGGCACTGGAACTACACTGGGAGGAGAACAGAGCCCCCCTGATTTAATGGAGGACACTGTCTTGCATGCAACTAGAATGCAATGAGATGGCTATTCTCATTTGGGTTATTGCTGCAACTGTGCATAGTAAAGAAAGCAGGGTCTACTCTAAGATTCTTACCCTAAGGGTTTACTCTAAGGCCTCTGGCATAGGAAAATGGAAAGGAAACCCAAGAAGAACAGGTTTGGGAGGGGAAAATGTAGTGATTATGCTTTGGACCTGTTGAGATTGAGGTTTCTGTGAAGTAGGCTGATGAAAATAGAATCTGGAATGCAAGAGAGATAAAAAGCCAGAGATAGGAATTTAGGAATCAATGATAGAATGGTAGTAATTTAAGCCATTAGGACAAATACAACAGATAATTTAGCTAGGATGATCTAATTTAAAATAAAAATTCTTAGTCTGGGTTCAGCATAATTGCATCTTTCCAAAGGAAACAATTGATCAGTCCCTCTGACTATGATCCATATATCCTTCGGAGAGTCCTTATTTTCATCTATCCTACACAAAATCCCAAGCATCTCTGCTTTGTACTGGCTCTTCCGCCCCTTATACAATTGGGGCTATGTCTACAAAAAGCAAACCTTCATCTCATTTTTTTTAGACCTCATTTCTAAAGGGTTATTGAGTCCTGTGCTGTAGACTTCATTGCTTCTATAGCAAAGATAACCTTATTTAAGTACTACAAAGGTAAGTAATTAAACCCACAAATGTTATAAGCTATCAGATCAATGAGAAAATCTCATGAGAAATTCCATTATATTCTTCATTCAAGGCTCATATACTCTCCTTGAAAAAAAAATGTACATGTTGTTCATGACCAAATAAAACTTACAAGCATTTAATTATATGAATAGATTGTGAAGAGGCTAAACTGACAAGACCTTCTTTCTTCCAGAAGCATTGTGAGAAATGACAGTTTTGAACCCAAATTTCATATGTATTTAGGTCCATAAGTCTCCCTGACAGAGTGGACTATCCTAACTCATTAATTAATGCACTGGGAATACTCTAGGTAGACTATGATTTGGATACTTTATGGGCTCTTATGTCAAGGATCTGTGTCAGACTGGATGCATACACAATGTCTACAGAAAAATTATTGTCACAAGCAAAACTGGTGGGGGTTTTTTATATACTTTAAGAGTAAGTAAGCCTAGCAAAAATATATGACACCATTTCTAATTGCCTTATATTTTTTAAGGAGTGAAACGTGCCTTCGTTTTTATTTGCCCATAGATTATGTCTCTGAATAGAACTATTATATGTACTTCATTTGTTTTTGAAAATGGTTGATACATATTTTTTTACTTTTGGATTATACATTCATACAGTTATTAATTGCTATATTCAGCAATAATATACCTTTAAGTTATAAAATGTTAAAGATTCATTGTTTTTAAAAGACAAACACTTATAGGCCATTCTGTATAGCATACATATGTTTTCTCTCTCTCTCTCTCTCTCTTTAAAGGGATCCTCATCCCCAAAATGCCTGTGGAGTACAATGTCTTACTCAATGCTGGAAGTGTAGCACCTCTGACCTCCTCTGTTGGTCATCATCAGTGCCTCCTTCTGGAAAATTTGGCTCCATTCACACAATATGAGATAAGGATACAAGCATGTCAAAATGGTGAAAGTCTTTCAGACACTTGTCCTGGGCTTTTATAAAAAAAAAAAAAAAAAAGTATTTTATGAAAAAATTCATTAAAAAGGAATAGATTCTCAATTCAAATACAGAGACTAACATTTCATTTCTTATTTGTACTGGACTGTTTACCCAGAAAAATCAGAGCCTGGCATTGAGTGAAGCATTATGCATTTCTGCACATTAAATCATGAATATTTAAATATATTAAAATGGTGGTTTTGCAAAGTCTTGTTTTATAAGGCCCTTTAAAAGAAAAACACCTAGATCACATAAAGGAATCATTGGTAATATAAAGCAAAATAGGTGTTATGAAAATTTCAGAAAGAAAAGGTACTCACTTTGGTTTATTTAAGTTTTATTTGGGGGTGAGGGGAGGCATTGTTTAGAAGTTGAATTGCACTTGAATGAATCTTACGTATTTTTACTGTGCTTCCCTGAACTCTATCTCATATATGCAGACTGTCGCCCTGAGTTTCATGGCATAGGCTAGTGATCTATGAAATCATCATCCATCTCTGTGGTCTTAAGGAAGAGCCTCCCTCAGTCCCTTCATCCCAAATGTTACGTCATATATTAATAAGAGAAGTAAAGATGTAACTCACATTGGTGTATAAAACATGTTGTTCCACTTTAAATTAAAGAAATGTCCCAATCTTCTACTTGAGTGGTGGGAACCCCTATCTTATTTGTGCTTAGGAACTTCTGTTTCCAAATGAGTATCAGTTCCCATGGAGTTGATTAGGATGAGGGGTCTGTGATTTTGCTTTGCCTCATCTCCAAAATTGTGAGTCAGTTTGCCCACTTTTCTCTACAAACGAAACCAAGGTATTTTGTTTTGAAGGATACCGTTTTTTTCTGATCTGGTCCTCAGCTAATCACCCTAGAAATGGTTTTAAACTAGTGTTTTCTTTAGTTAAATGCAAAATCAACTTCTACATCCCTATGTCTCTAAAACTATGCTATGGAGATACAATATTCTTCAAATTAATTGATTCCTGCATATTGGGAGATGATCATTATTTTAAAATATTGGCAAAAATAAGATATTATTAAGACTATACAAGATATGCAGATCATACACACTTACGATATTCAAGTACATTATCACTTTCTGGCAGAATAACTGTAATAAACTAGAGAAACCATAGTTCAGACAAGCATAAGCATTCTTACCTATGCCTCTATAAATTTGTGGTTAGTTAATGGATTTTCCAAAACTGATGATTCCCTATTTAAATATACATAATATAAATATAATATAAAATATGTATACATATAAATATATTCAAATTATATAGAGATTTATAGTACTAGTCTAAAATATGTGTACAAGGGTCATATACAAAAGTTCAGCTAAAATGATTTCCATGATCTCCTTATCCTTCTATATGCATATGTAGCTGTTTTCCCTGCTTGACAAATTACTAAAGGACTCAATTTTTTTCAAGGAAGTTGTGGAGTTAGCAGTAGGACGTTTGTCAAAACATCTGAAGCAGCCCCAGTGGATCTACATCCCCCGGTTCTTAAGGCACTGGGGTCAGCTTGCATAGAGGTTAAATGGATGCCACCTGAAAAGCCAAATGGAGTCATCATCAACTACTTTCTTCACAGGTAACATTGACTATTACTGTTATTTTAAATTATTTAAAAATGTGTACAATTCCAGGACTGTAAAATCAAATACATTTTCTTTTTCCGTAAGGGAATAGATGGGAACTGGTGCTTTTCAGAGCACTTCCTAGGGTCTGAGATTGGTAATGGAAGCTTTTACACATGATCCGGGGGAAAAAAACACAGCTACCAGGGAACAGTTTTGTCTGAGCCCTACTTGGAAGATAAGACCTCATAGTGCACATCAGCCTTACCTCTGATTAAGTCATAGAGCAGTCCTCTGGAGGCTCACTGACCAAGAGAATATAGTCATTCCAGAGGAGGAACCAGGCGTGCAATGAGAATTCTAATATTTCCCATCCCTATTATGTGGAGCTTGGAAAAGCTTTTTATCCTCAAAAAACAGGGTGCTTTCCATCTGCAGAAAGATGGCTCAACTCTGCAATTCCCCTTCTGTTGGAAGGAACTCCCACTCAGCTGGCTAGATGGTTCTGGGAGTGCAGTAGATGGTAATGCAGCTTCTTTTCACCAGGATGTGCAGAATTTGTTAAGTATATCCCCCTAAAATGAAGAAAAGAAGGAAAGAGAAAATGCAGGGAAAGAGAAGAGAGGAGGAAGAGACGGGGACCATAGGCACTTTGGGTTGAAGAGTATTGCACTCCCGGATCCAGTCTTCACCTGATCCACACAGACATAGTTTTAATTTAATGTTTTCTTTACATAAATAATGAATAATGAGGAGGAGAAGCAGAGGGAGAGAGGGAGAAGAGAGAATGGGAAGGAGAGAAAGAGAGAGAGGGAGAAACAGAATTAGAGAGGAACCCGGAGGGAGAAGGAGGAACAGGAGAGAAAAGGCAAAAGTAAAACAGAAAGAGAGTCAAGGAGGCAAAGAACCTGTCCCCTGAGAGTCTGCTCTCTGTTCTAGTGCCTTCGGACTGCTCTAACAAAAATGGCATAAACTGGGTGGCTTATAAACAACACACATTATTTCTCTGGAAGTTGGGAAAATACAAAATGAAGGTGCTGACAGATTCCATGTTTGGTGAGGGTCCACTTCCTGGCTCACAGACAGCTATCACTTCGTTGCACCCTCACTGTGGCGGAAGCAACCAGAGAGCCCCGTGGGTCTCCGTTAGAAGGGCACTCATCCCATCATGGAGGTTCCACACTCATATCCCAGTCACCTCCCAAATGTCTCACCTCCTAATACCATCACCTTGAGGTTTGGAATTTGGCATATGAATTGGGGGTGGAGGAGACACGGACTTCCTGACCATAACTGTCTAAGTGAGAAAAGACGCTATGGAAGATAGCTACCAGCAGACATAAGGGATTTGCCGGTTGAAAACCCCATTCCAAAAGCCACGTATTTCCATTAGGCAAACGGAGAACAATACATTCTTGCTCAGACTCTCACCCCTACTCCCACATGGTCTGTTAGTCTCTCCAGCGGCCTCACACCTTCCCCTGTTTGGTCCTATGCTCTGAATATGTCAGGAAACAGGTCAGGCTCCTCTTGCAACTTCAGGTATTGAAACCCTTTGATTCAGTGATGAGCAAGGGTTTGTAGGAAAATTATGAAAGGAGAAAGTATTATTGCATTTCTGGTTATGTAAATTACATGGCCAAGAAAGAGCAAGCCAAATTTCTTCTCAGCAAACATTAATTTGAAGAACAATATTTCTGATTCAAATACACACGAACATGTGAAAATGGCTAATGCGAATTTACATTTTACGCTAAGCACATTAGTGCAGGCTCTAAAATGCCCATCCTCTTGGAATAGTTTTCTTTCATCTACTTAATGATAATTGTATGAGAAAAGCACATCAAATTCCTATTCTGAATAAAGGGAAATAAAGTATCTGTTATAGAGCAGGACGTGGCTTCAGTCTGTTGGTTTTGTAAATAAAGCTCATGATTACAGTGACTATTCCATGGCAGCTATAGAGAGGGAAAACAGGAAATATAATGCAGAAAGCCCGCTTCAATGAAAAATACTGTAAATTGAATTTGACAGCATTTGATGGCATTTGATTATTCTAGTCACAGCCAAACAATGATATAAAGAGTAATATGAAACAGAATGTGTTACTGCCTAGCAGACTCAAAAGCAATAAACCTTCCTCCAATGTGACACAATCACTTCACAATCATAATTGTAGCCTGTTTGATACCTCTGAGTACAGCAGAAGGGCACTGACTGACATAGATACATTTTGTTTTTTATTTAAAGTGAAATGAAAATGGCGCACTGGGGCTCCAGATACAATCGTTATATTCACCTACATAGGCATGAATCACTTGGCGGTTATTTCAGCTGAAGTTTAAATGTGCTTAGACAACAACAATATCAAATTTTTCTTAGATAGCTGCAAAAAAAAAATCAGAAATTTGTAAGGACAGAAATAGAATGTAGGCACATAGTTCTTTTTCATTCCGGGACTACAGAGAGCCCCTTATATAGTTATGGCCACGAGCCTGCAGTATTTCTGGGGAGGTTATGGCATGTAATTCCTGCTTCATCATTTGCCTCCTCTTTCTTGTATCACCACCAAAGGAAATACACTTAGCTCAAACCAAAGACGGGGTTTGGCCTAGGCAGATATTTTCATTAAATTGCAGGAAGCCAACTTGCCAATCCCATTTTGAAAATACCTGTCACTCTGCTCTCTCTAACCCCCTAAATCACTTCCCCTCAGTAATTTCCTTCCATTGTTTAAAGACTACCTCTAGATATCATCCTACAGAAAGGCATCTGCACTGATAAAGGGGTGTTGATGACTTTACAAACAAAATAATCTAGGAAGAATATGATTATTAATGCAATTGCTTCTGTTCCATTTACCTGTTACTTCGTTATTTGATTTAGGCTACTTTGTTCCCTAAGGTGGGGAGTTACAAAAGATATTTCTGACAATAGGGACAACACTGAGGTTAGTGTTGTGCAACCTGTTTACTGATAGAGTATATACATAAAGCCATCTTCAGCATTTGTTTTCTCCTCATAGTACATTTGGATATTGTAATAACGATTTTTCAGTATTCCCCTCTATCTTATATCTATAATGTTGTAAGTGGCAAAATCCCTCCACAAAATCTGACTTCCATGTACAAAATCCACCAAATATTTTTTTCTTAGGACTTTACAAAACACTTGATGAAATGATCTCCCACCATTTTAATAGACACAAAATTGCATGAAGTTTATTCTCATAAACTGTCTCTTTTAATAAATACAAAGATTGATCGATGTGCAATAAGAAAAAATATATACAAATACCTTCTAACACTGTAAAAGTAGAAATGAATAATGAACTCTTTTTGGGTATTTAAATAGTAAGATTTTGAAGGATAAAATCGGAGATAGTTTGGGTGGATGGTTAATATGGAAGAATATTCCAAGCAGGGCACTGCAAGTAATAATTTTCTAAAATGGAAAATTAAGCTGATTGAGTAAACTAAGAAGACATTGACTCAAAAGTGAAGAAATTTTTATACAATCAGTTCATGTTGTGTGGAAATATAGATATGGAGACGGAGATAGGTAGATGATCGACAGATGATAGATATATCAATAGATAGATAGAAATGTTCATATCTACTGTGAGGTCTGAGTCCTATTACCAAGGACCTTTACTATAGGAGGAGATATATGTAAAACTAAGCAAACAAACAAACAAAAAGAGAAATATAATGTGAAAAATATAAATATTTACCAGAAAGTTTACAGGAGAGAAGGATTCTTTTTGTCTGGAATATTTATGGAAGATTTCATTCATTATTCATGGATGAAATTAATGTCATTGGGACTTGGCCTTACAATATAAAAATGTAGTGACCATTATTAGAAATACTTTTGTTGGAAAAAAGTTTTAACAGGACAGAATATTACAAAGGCTACTTATCCTTTCTTTATGACTTACCCAAGTCGCATAAAATTTCCATCAATGAAAGTAACTACTATTAATTTTAATATATATAATATTTCTGTAAAAGAATCATATTGTTTATGCTGTTCTCCAATTTTCTTTGGGCATTTGGGTGCATGCGCACGCACACACACACACATACACACACACACACACACACACACACACACCTCACTTCTTTTAATGACTCAACTGTATTTTATTATATGGATGTGTGTCAATATTATTAACCAGTCCCCTACTGATGGCAAAAGAAGTGATTTCCAAGTTTTCATTACAACAGCAACTCAAAAAAAAAAAAAAAACACCTTTACAATGAGCAGGTGAAGGATTATTCTTAGTACTAGAAGTGCAGGGTCAAATTTTATACATTTTAAATTCCTATGGTTTGTAAGAATTTTAATTCTGGAAACTCCTGTCAATAGGGGGTCTTATCAATTTTTCAAATCTTTGCCAGTTCAATATTTTAAATGGCATATTATTGTTTTAATTAAAATTTTGGTTATTATAAGTGAAGTTCATTTATTTTAAATACTTGCTACGTGTGTGTGTATATAAATATTATATATCCTTAGATTATTTTCTTTTGGACTATGTCTCATTCATTTGTCTATGCTCTTTATATAGTAAGGAAATTCTCCCTTTAATGATCATATAAAAAATAACACATCAATTATTTCTTCCAGCAATTTTATGGGTTCTACTCCTTATATCTAAATATACTTGATTTTGTTTTAAAGAATGAGACAAGAAATCTATGCATTTATTTTTTTAAAAAACTATCTAGTTTGTCAACATTATTTTATAATTCACTGATTTGAGATGCCACCTGTACAAAATCCCCATATATCATCTGATCCATTTCAGGATTTTGTATTCTGTTTCATTTATAGTGGACAGGATTTTAATAAGCAGAGCCTGATGGCAAAGTTATCTCAGGTGAATAAAATTAATAGAATGAACCAAATTCCCAATGCTGAAGGCATAGTGTTCAAGTAATTGTCAGGCTTGGCTGGAGCCTTTGTTATTTATAAGGAGAATTTCGACAATCAGCTTGATGGTAGATTT